ATATATATATATATATATATATATATATATATATATATATATATATATATATATATATATATATATATATATATATATATATATATATATCATGTTACAGGTAAAAGACAAACATTTTTTCGAAAAAAAAAGGATCTCAACTGCCGTTGCTATGGCAACAATAAGGCTTCAGAATGGCCAATATTTTGGGTTTAAAGTTATTTAACTTGAAAATAAGATCGGTTACACCCATTTTTTATTTCATAAAAAGAATTTGTTTCGTATATTATTTTTGAATCACTGTTATGATTTTCAAAAAATTCGGTCATGCGAAGAAAAAAATTTTGCAAATTATTAGTTACATTTTTTGATCTTGAAAAAATTTGGCATGACAGAATTTTTTTAACAAAAATTATTCAACATACTAAAATAAATCACGCTATAAAATAAAAATTGGGGTCACCCACCATTTTTTCAAGTTAAAATATTTTAAACCAAAAATATCCACCATGATATAACAAGAATGTTACAAGGTTGATGACACAAGGTTGTAACAAATTTTTCATATCATGAGTGTATCGCACTTGTCGGACGCAGCTGAATCTGATTGAAAAAAAAATCACTACTGCGCAAGATGGTGAAGCTTGTTTATTGCACTTGAAACCACACAATGTGAATGAGCTACTGTAATAGGTAAATAATATGTAAGCTGTATTTGGTGTGCCGACCATAGTATGACCTGCGACCTTTGACTCACTTTTAAGCGAACAAAAACACCACTCTTTTGATTTGCAAAGCCATATTTGCTGCCAACCAAACCAAGCTGTTGTTCTTTCTGAAAAACAGTCATTAAAATTATAAATTGGATAGAAGAAAGTGGAAAATGGCCTGATACAAATCGATACCTGACACAAAAAAAAATTCGGAGTTTGACCTGATTGGTTTATCGAATTTTCAGATTTTGCTCTGGGGGTGAGGGTGCTGAAAATTTAGGTGGGAGGTGAGTGACGGGGCACATAACCCCGCCGAACAAACTGCAGCAGGGGCCTGGGGGCACAAATACTAGTTGGGGTAAGGGGGCTTAGGGCAAAGCCCCCAGGAAATGTTGAGACTTTGGGTCTCATTTAGTTCAAAATCCTTGTTTTTTTGTCTTGACTTTTGGTCTTATTTATTTCAAAATCCTTATCCCAATCAACATTTAAATTTTTTGGGGAGTACGGTACAAGTTTCTCTAGGTGAAAAATAAAACTTAAATATAAACTCTGCTAAAAATTTCAAATTCTCGCCCCCTGTGTGCAACCGATCATGGGTTATCTGCATTTTAAATTACTTGCTATTATGGTACTTTAAGATAACAACTCATACAGTACCTCCTCGTCATACAATTCCTGATTCCATTCCCAGTCCAAATCATCTTCTTCATCATTACCATCACAAGACATTTCTTCAGAAATAACCTCAATCCCAGGCTTCGATACATTACACTTGCCAGATGGAGCAAGGAGTTTAGTCACCAGATCCAGGTCAGGAAAATGTGTACCTGGTACGAGCTTTGGAAGATGAATTGTGAATAATCCTATAACAAAAACGAAAGAAAAAATGTCGACAGACCCAGGGTCGGATTAACGTCGCGTGAGGCCTGTGGCAGATTTTCAGCACGAGGCCCCCAACCCCCCGCTATGAAAAGCTACAGACTGGGGCCCCAAATGCGCGGGTCCCTAAATTCGCGAGGCACCTAAAATGGGCGTGTCCCAATAGAAAATGGGCGTGTTCTTGTAAAAATGGGCGTGGCACAGTAAAGTGCGAGGCCCCATAAGCGCGAGGCCTGCGGCATATGCCGCATCTGCCACGTGGTTAATCCGGCCTTGGACAGACCCTTTCCCAAGATAGTTTTACAACCCAATGAAACAAATATATACTGAAACGCAACCTGAAATTTGAAGCCAAACTTGAATGAAGGCCAGTTCCTGTCTTTTCATGCATGAGTATGGTTTAACATGAATATGTATTATATATCGATTTCAAGTCACTTTTCAATGCTCGGGTCCCGGCGAGTGTAATTTGCAGAATGCAGAATGCAACTTCTGTACTTTTGCTCAGCTTTTACAAGTTTAGGAACCTAGTTAACCTTAACACTTTCGGACAGCTTTTACGTACAAAAGTATAGAAGTTGCTTTCTGCGTGTGCATTCTGCAAATTACACCAACTCCACAGGTCTCAAGTTCAAAAAATGTCCAGTACCTTTATCAACATCATAGGATGCAGACTCATCACCATTTTCAATAATCTTTCCAGGAAAATTTAACCTACAATATTATTAACAAAACAAGGACAAAGGTCTCAAGAAAGTATAATCATCGATGCTTGGCACGAAAAGTTACATTCTGAAATTGACACTGACTATTGATGTATATTTCTGCCCATATACTGTAACTAACCTTAAAAAATAAGGTTTGACAAAAAATTTGAAATGGTGCTCTTCAATAAAATATTCCACATCATGTATCTAAAGAAAATAACTCCAATAATGGATAATTTGCACAAACAAGAATTCTGTGTTGGCCTTCGAGTAAAATTTGTTGGTGCACAGATGCATAATAAACATTCATTATAAACACATGGTTACCGTAACCCATTAAGTGGCAGCACTCTCCCCTTGACAAGTAAAATGGTCTGGCATTAGACAGAGTAAAATAATAAAGTAGGGTGCATCAGGGCACAATGCGACTCAATGGATTAACAAAATTATTGTGGGAAATATATTGTGGTGGAAGTTATATTCTGAACTTGTTTAATTTGGTGATATCTGGTCTGCGGGAACAGGGATCATGCAAGTGATTTTATGATTGGGCAGAGCGCTGGTGTTGAGTCATTGAAATGAGGTAAGTTTTTCAGCAAAGCTGCAAACCTTCATAGGGGGTCTGGGGGAATGTCCCCCTAGAAAATGTTCAAAATTATAAGCTACCTCTCACAGGCCACAATTAATAGAAGTAGGCCACAGTTAATTGATTGGTTAATTGGTAGAATAAATGCACCTGATTGGTTAATCAGGTAGAATTAATAAATACACCTGATTGGTTAATCTGTAGAATAAATGCACCTGATTGGTTAATCAGGTAGAATTAATAAATGCACCTGATTGGTTAATCAGGTAGAATTAATAAATGCACCTGATTGGTTAATCAGGTAGAATTAATAAATGCACCTGATTGGTTAATCTGTAGAATAAATGCACCTGATTGGTTAAAGGTGATCTACAGTCCGTATGTAAACAAAGCCTTTGTTTACATTTTTGTGTCCAAAATATTGAGCTTTATTCGACAACTATTTATATTTTCAAGCTTCTAGAGTATAATAAATGATCAAGAAACAACAATCAGGCTTTTCAAGAACTCAAAACATAGTTAAACTGTTTGTATCATAAAAAGTGGGCTCATTTGTGCACATGCGCAGATCGGACTGTAGATCACCTTTAAAGACCATGCCAAGTCCATAATGTAAACAAAGGATTTGTTTACATTTTGAACTGCTATATTTGTCAAATAAGACATATTAATTAACTGAATATCTACCACTTTTCTGGTTCACAATTGTAAATGAATATTAAAACTAGAGTACGTTTCAATTCAAAAAAGTTCGAAAGATGCAAAATTTGGGCAATGTTTGTATCTGTGGGTCCCCATTTGTTATGAGCAGAACTGATGCGCAGAACGGACTTGACATGGACTTTAATATTGTAATGGTAGTAGAAGTCAAAACCTGAATTATTATAGAGAATTTCCACCATCTTGTTTGGAATATTAAACACTAAGTAAAATGGGTTTTTGGAACCAACTTTTTAGGCACCTACCTTAATATACGGAGTCTTTATATAAACATACACAAATTTCTCATCCTGGCTCAGTTCAAATGCTGGAGTAAGCATTGAAACTCTTTATTTTACACCCCAACAGCGCAGAGCTAAACATACAGACATAAACATTTGTATTTGCAAAATATCTTCGATTCCACGGTTAGCACTATTTTCCATCCAGCAAACTGACCTGACGTCATTTTTGGAAGATGGAAGAGGTGTTAAATGGCTATGTAGCTAACCCAAACCCTACCCTACTCTAACCCCTAACCCCAACCTCAACCCTAACTATAACCCTAACCGAATTAATAAAAAAATCCAAAAAGAAACGACTTTACAAAATCGATAGGGCGGTTTGCTGGATGGAAAAAAGTGCTAACCCGATTCCACGTGCTTTATCGTCAAATGTCGGATCGCAGTCGGATATATTCGGCAGACACCAGACACAGCCAGAGACACAGCAAAAATCCCACTTTTAGGAATTTATCCTTAAAAACAGGAATTGTTTACTGGCTGGCCTGGTGTGCCCCACGCCCCCCTCCCCCCCTCCCCACTGAACCATCCCAGTCAAAGGCCCTTCCCTCTAAAATATGAAATATATAAATTATAAAGCAAAACATTGGAAGAAAAATGAAGAAATTTGCTTTGTGATCTTATGTCCTGTCTTTTTATATCTTCAAATGATTCAACAATGTCTTTTTAAAAATGCTAAACGTGTTGCAAAATATCAGAAAGACTTTTACTTTAGCACCCTAGGATGTTCTTCTTGTTCATTTTGAGCGATTTTGAGTTTTAGCAGATTTGGAGAAAACTAAGGAAATTCTGGCGCTCTTGCAAAGGAATTCTATTTCGTCTATATTTTGAAACAGAGGAGGTTCGACAAGCAGGCCGCAAAGCATCATGGGTTCGAGTGCCCTAATTCCAGGCGTGGCTTCAATGACTCTTTGACTGTCGTGGAGTGAACATCTCTCTGAGTAAACAAATATGG